GTCTTTGTTCTCTTTGCTTTTCAGTTTTGTGGGTTTTTATTAATATATCATCAAGGTCAGAGATTGTTTTCTCAGCCATGTCCAGTCTATCAGTAAGCTCATCAAAGGCATTCTTCACTTCTGTTACATTGTTTTTTTAATCTCTAGCAATTCTTTTTTATTTTTCTTCGAATTTCCATCTCTGTTTACATTGGCTGTATGTTCTTACATGCTGTATACTTTATCCATTAGAGACCTTAGCATATTATTCATAGTTGTTTCAAATTCCCAGTCTGATAGTTCCAACATCCCTGCTATGTTTAGTTCTGATACTTTGTCTCTCCAAATTATATTTTTTGCCTTTTAGTATGCCTTGTGTTTTTCATAATGGCTGGATATGATGTACTGGTTGAAAGATACTGTGTAAACAGGTATTTAGTAATGTAGTGGTAAGGTATAGGGGGAGAGGAAATGTTCTATAGTTGTATGATTAGGTCTCTGTCTCTTAATGAGTCTATGCCTCTGGACTATGAACTTCATAAGGGATTCTTAGTCCACTTGCCAAACTCCTCTTAGGTGGGACAGGTTAATAGAGTGAGCTGGAGTTGGGTATTTTGATTCTCCTGTGTGGAAGGCTAGAGTTGGCTAGAGTTGGGTATTTCTCTTCCCCCAGGTCTATAGGCTCTGATAGAACCCCAGTGGGTTAAGCTGTGGTTAAATAGATTCTCCTGCGGGCAGACTTTGTTAAGAACAGAGTACTCTGGTGTATTTGAAAATGGTTTCTTTTTCCTTTCTTTTTCTCTGAAATTTATTATGAGAACCTAGTTGAGCCCCTGGAATTAAAACTCAAAATAGAGGGTCCCACACAATTCCCCATGACTGGATCCCCCTAGAGCTTTTAACAGTTAGACTTGCCCTTTCCAGACTTCTAGCAATTCATCAGTTATAGTTCAGGTTTTCTTACCCTGGTCTTGTTTTTTACAGAGGTTTCCTCTCTTGAGTCTCTGCTCCGGTAAGCCAAGACTCCTTTTAGTTACCTACTGGTCTCTCCAGTCTCGAGGGTAGCAGTTTGTCTTGTGTCCTCACCTCTCTGAGTGATCTGAGAGGAGTCGTTAATTTTGCAGTCTGTTCAACTTCTTACTTGTTAGGATGGAGTGATGACTTCCAAGCTTCTTACATGTGAAACTGGAAACTGGAAGTCTATTTTTTCAATATGTAAATACTTTTTAACATAGATATGACCTCATCAGTGCTATAAATTTTGTGCCATCAGGTGACTAAAAGATGGCATAGTTCTATTATGTCCAGTTTGCTTATGTTTCTTTTTTGCTTTTTTTTAGGTTAATACAATATGTTGGAATGACACTGGAGAATATATTTTATCTGGCTCAGATGACACCAAGTTAGTAATTAGTAATCCTTACAGCAGAAAGG